GACAATGTGACCGTAGCATATAAAACCCTTGAAACTCTGATGTCATCTAAATTGCAATGTTCTTTTACATTACCAGAAAATGTCAAACCAGTTATACGCAAATTACTGCACGACTTTAAAACGAAGTGGCAACAAGTTAAAAGGACAGAACAAAAATTTTTTGAAAATTTCCATGAATGGCTAAGCGTGTTCGTTTCTTTTGAAGAAAGAAAGTTAGAAACGCCCAAAAAATCAGGTCGTCCTTCTTCAACATTTACAGGTTCTAGTGAAAGAACAAAGAGAAGGAAGACCGAAGGAATTCGTTCACAGGCAAATATCGAAGAACTATCCTACTCAAACTATGCTACTCAAATAAGTCTTCGAGCTGCAGGAAAATTGGATGCTGCAACAGTTGTTAAGGATGTGACATTGGGCAGCCCATCTAAAGCTAAAAAGTACAGAAAATCATTACAATTCTGTTCGGAAAACACTCTTTCGGACGATTCTGCTCTTTCACTTATAATCGAACAGAAATTATCGAAAAGCCAGTATGACGGACTACGAACTGTGAGCAGAGAACATAATTGTAAGTTGTATCTGTCATTGTATATAAAAGTATTAAAAGCTAAGCATAAATGTTATCCACTTAAATCAGACATCATTATAACCGAAATCAGTACCGAAGTAAAACTACAAGCTTTGTTGAATCACACTGCTGAACGCATTTTGTTGACTCAAATGGACGTTATTAAAAATTTAATCGCGGAAAATGTTCGTAACATGTATTTGATTTGCAAGTGGGGTTGTGATGGCAGCTCTGGCCACAGTATATACAAACAAAAATTTAGTGATGATGACGGAAGCAAATCAGATTCAAATATATTTTTTTCTTCACTTGTACCACTTCAGCTTATATCTGTTGATCTAGTAACAAATGCAGAAATTGTTGTGTGGAAAAATCCGAGACCTTCATCTCCACGATTTTGTAGACCATTACGAATTCAATTCTTGCATGAAAATACGACAGCTACTGTAAACGAAACAGATTATATTAAAGAACAAGAGACTAAACTTGTCCCTTTTGAAACGATTGTAGATGGAAAAGAAATAACCGTGTCTTACAAACTTGCTTTAACGATGATAGATGGTAAAGTTTGCAATGCAATCACCGGTACATCATTTACTCCATGTTGTTATTTATGTCAAGCAACATCAACAGAATTTAATGATATCGATGCAATTTTACAAAGAAAAGTCGTTGAAGATCATTTACAATTTGGATTGTCTACATTACACGGATGGATACGGTTTTTTGAATGTTGTTGCATTTGTCATATAAACTAGATATAAAGAAATGGCAAGCGCGTACTGCTGAAGAAAAGGAAAAAACAGAGATTCGTAAAAAAATATACAAAAGGGATTTCGTTTATGTTAATGTTAACAGATGGGAAGCACGGGGATCGAACGAACGAATACAGTTAGGTGAAAAAAGCCTTCTTTAATGAGTTGCGATCTACACGTATATCTTGAGACCCGACATGAGCGTAATATTTACTACCAAAGGGGGGGGGGGTGAAGGTCGGTGGGATCATCGTAGAATGAGTGAGATGGCGTTGCGTGCGTGTGACCGCGCGAGGCGCGAAGAGTAAACGTGTGATATGCATCTCCAACAGTTTACAACTAGGACTTAACGTTGATCAACCAAAGCCTGGATATGGTAGCACAAATGATGGAAATACTGCTCGGCGATTTTTCGAAAATTCAACTGTTTCCGCCTCGATAACTGGAATAGATGAAGATATAATCAAACGATTTCACATTATATTGCAAACAATTTCGAGTGGCCATGAAATTCATTTAACGAAATTTCAGGAATACACCTTACAAACAGCTCGCAAATTCGTTGAATTATATCGTTGGTTTTATATGCCAACTTCAGTACATAAAATTTTAATTCATGGACCACAAATAATGGCTTCCTCACTATTGCCAATCGGACAAATGTCAGAAGATGCTCAAGAAAGTTGCAAAAAAAAGTTTCGAGAAGACTTTTCTCGAAAATGTAGCCGAACGAAAACTATGGAAGATATTTTTTTACGGCTATTGGTGACGTCAGATCCATTCATTTCAAGTTTGCGTAAATTACCTCAAAAACAATTCAAATCATTGTCATCAGAAGCAGCTCAATTATTAATTCCGCCAAATATTGAGATTATCGATGAACACTCCGAATTGTCTACAGGAGGATCAAGTGACGACGACCGATATGAATCAGATGACGAATAATTTATTTTATTTATTTATTTATTTATTTATTTTTTATTTACTTATTTATTTATTTATTTAAATTATTTGACTAGTCGACTTTTACCACCTCTACAAAACAAAAACTTATATCTCGATGAGATCTTTCAATCGATAGATTGAATCAATAGAGCAGCTAATAAATCCGAAAAAACGGCTCACACTTTACAGCTGTTATGATTTGCGTGGCGAGCGATTTTTATCTTTTGACTTTATATTTAAATTATATTTTATACACTATTTATTTTATACACTGAGGATGGCCTAGAGAAAGGCCGAACGTTTGTATTTTTATGTTTTTTTATGTTTTGAATATATGAGAATGAGAATTTTATTATTGTGACACTAACACCTAGTCAAGGCTCTTAGCCCTTTTATTCATTGATTGTTATTCGTCAGAACCGTATTCTATTATTAAATTATTAGATTAAAAGTTAATTTATATTTATGAAATTAGATTTTAATATAGGTTTTTCTTTTTCTATTTTATGTTCTTTTTTAGTAATAAGTTCCTACATTTTTAATCTTTTATAAGTAACATCTTTTTAATTCTTTGCTAACATTTTTATTAACTTAGTACAGAGAATTTCTGTTTAAATATTACAAATTTTTTTAATATTTATTTTCTCTGTGTGTATTTTTAAATTGATATGACGATCAATAAATACTTGTGATGTAAGTTTTGGTCTATAACAAAATTTTTTTATATACGTCGGCCATATTGAATCCACCAATTTTTTGCATTTTTGACTTTGGATTTGTAATCAGCGACCTCCAAAACACTTAGATACAAAGTTTGGTACAGATTGAACAACGCTTTCATATTTTGGCCAGCTTTTCGGGATTTGGCCCCACTGTGTGACGGTCAGTTCTCCCACATTAGTACCAACATTTATACAGTACACAAACGCAAGCTTAGTACCCAGAAGAAGAAATTTTAAATGGGAATCCCTCTAGTGTTATACTTTTTGAATTCCTCATAAAAAAACAGTTGTGATTTATTCATTCAGTGTTCCTCATTCTGTTAATCTGCATAACTACAGAGATTTGGGTGAAAAGTTGATTTGACCTTGGAATGATGCCTAAGGATCAACTTAACCCTATAACATAACAACATACAAGATATTGTACTCTATGTCAAAGTACTACAAAGTACTGCTTTGGAACCTCATAACTCGATAAGTACTAAAAAAAATATTTTGTTTAGTGTTGTGGAAAGCTCTCGAGATAAGCTAGAAAAATATGTAATGAGAAATAGTAGGTTCTATTTAAGAAATTGAAGGTGATCTTCAGGTGACCTTCAAATAACTCTTCAAGGTCAAACCAATGGTACCATGTTATGTTCCCCTTGAAGCTATTCAACTTTTGTCAGAAACATTCTCTAGTAAAACTCTTCATTAACGAGATATTTGACAGTGTCCAGACTTTTTTAACACCCAGTATGTACGTGTGTGTGTGTCTGTTCTTTCGTTATAAAATGTACACTTATTACATATGCGCATATTCGTGTCCTCTTATCAGCGACAGGAAGAACATGTGGTTTCTTCACACACACACCACACACACGCACACGCGCGCGCGCGCGCGCGTGCGTACGCGCAAGCGCGTAATTTTACTTTCGTCCTTCCAATGGCTATGCAATGGCGTGCTTGTATAGCTTTTTAAAAATGCAACATATGTATATTAATATTACAATTTAACCATGCACGGTACTATTAATATTACTTGGGAAATTTTGATACAACTTTAAAGATATAAAAATTATATTTGAAAAAAAAGGATTTGTGATTAATACCGGACTTACATTGCGTTATTGTAGCGACAAGAAGTTTTATACTAATCACAAATATTTTTTTAACTATAATCGACACAACAAAGTTATTTTAAAAGACTGAAATCTTAACAATATATTTAATTTCGATTGCGATACAATTTTTCCGACATTATTATATTGTTATAACATGTCAAAGTAGTTCTTTTGCAGCTTTAATCTTAAGTTTTTCAAATTCATGATATAATATAATAGTATAATACATTTTAATTTAATAAACAGGATCGTATTTAGCGCCTAAAAAAGTACAAGAAACGATTACTTCTTATATTTGAAAAGTTTATTTTTAATGATGCTGATAGCATAAAAATGTTGCTATGTAGCTCTACAATGCTTTGCAAACTAAGTTTTCTAATTAAAAAAAATACTACAGGGAAATGAAATAAAAGTGCGCGAAGACAAAAAAATTCATTGTCGGATATATTATGTAGAATACCTACAATGTGTCTTATACATACAAATTTAACAATATAAATTAAAATGCAATATTTCAAAGAATATTAAATTTTTTATTTTTTAAATCAATAAAAAAATGTTGAAATGTTTTGGATTAAAACAATATTTTGCAGTTATTTAATATAATACAAACCGTATTAAAAACCAAATAAATTCTAGCATTTTATTGTATGTTTGATTAATTTGTCATCCATTATTCACATAAACATTTAAGAAATTAATTTTAGCAATTAAATTATAAATTACTACTATAAAAGTCTGAGAACTATTTCTACAGAGGATACAAAAGAATTTAATATAATTGTCTACAGGATTCTTGGTATTAAAATTGCAAATGTATAGTCGTAAGTTTCTAATCGTGGTAGCCAATGCATCGTAAGTATTACTCACCTAATCGCGAACTATCGGCAAGACAGTCAGAGGCGTAGAACTTCCTAGGGGGAACCGCCTATCGTCGTCCCGACGTCATACTGTGCATTTGTTCACTTGACCGAGAACGCAAACGATCACGCACAGGCCCGTCACGTATGTGCTTACCAAGCAAAATCGAATATTCAACCAATTAGGTCGAATACCGGTCAAGTGCAGTTGTAAATTCGTAATCGCGAGTGACAGATACAGTGTGACAGATCATGAGTTCATCCAGGTCATAATTGCGGTGTGATCCAACGAGTACCGAATACTCGCGGCAAGTAATCAACAAACGAATTTATATCCGTCATAAGACATTTACAAATCGAACAATTTTTTTAACGACATTGCTAAATTGCTACTTACAACGATACAAGAAAGACCTAGAAGAATACCGATGTTACAAGGTCAACGATGTGATCTGCAGTGTGAGATTCGTACCAACGAAATTTAAGAAAACAAAGAAATATGACCAATTTCATGGATCATGGTATTAAATATCTCAGATAATACCTGATATGTTAAAATTAATCGTTATCGAAATTAACGTTTGCGTATAAGTAATGTGAGACGTGTAATGCGAGATACGTGGGACGGTGAGCGAATATCTGTGCTGATGATTAAGCATATGTTCCGGCAGTCTCGATTGTAGCTACGAACGTTATCGCGGATTGTGGGCATCGTAACTTCCGCGCATAAAATTTATTATTTTACCACAATACTTTTGCGAAGCTAGTATATAGAATAAAATCTTTTATTTTGCGTTATTGCGCGCGCGAAAAATTCGAAGTACTATTATTATTTTTCATTATTTACTTAGTAAAACAATTTTTACATAAAAATATATAAATACATATTAATTGTATATAAAATATGTCCACATACGTTTATTTCTTGAATATCCTCTGTCCGTACGTGTATTAAAAAAAAAACGAACAATTAAGACAATTTTTGTTTGTATTATTTTTTTAAATACATTTTTTAAATTTTTGCATTGAATTTTTACAAAAAATAAAATTTAGATTATACAATATTCTCTATATCATCATATGTACAATCATATTTTTTATATGATTATTATATTCATATAAATGGGCATAATATCAATAAAATGGGCATATTTTACATATATTTATAAGTATGTATAGATTTAAATGTTTTTATATAAACAATTTTTTAACGAGTAACTTAAATTTAAAATAAATGTAACGGAAAAACTAAATACGATTTTCCTTAGAAGAAACGTATGTGATTCAAAATTTGCATAACAAATGCCAATCTCTTTCGACATTTTAGCTAATTTTAAGAAACAAACAGTTGGAATATTCCGTTTACTATTTCGAATCACTCAATTTCCGACCAGCTGTTAAATGGAAATGAAAAGTGGATAGATATTCTAATATGTTTCGACAGTGTTCCTTTATCATCATGCGTTATCACTCGTTTCACCAGTTCTCATTCGGACATAGCCGAGAATTATTGGTAACACAAGTGTTTCCTATCCGGTGCGCAGATGTGTACACACCGAGGCGTTTTACGTTTCATGCCGCGATGTCATAAGAGACACGTCGACAAATGTGATGGCAACGAATACGAGACGTGAATGTTTCATCGTGAATGTTTCTTCGACGTGAGTAATGTTCAATCAACTCGACATGATAAACTTCCATCATAAACATGTTCTCATCATCTGTACATTACTTAATAATCTTCGGATTTATTATAATAAAACGTTAATTAAATATTATGTACTTTTAAACTAATTGAAACGTGTCTGTGTTACGTGAGAAGTTACGTTCAAGCCATTAATTATCTCTTCATACCGTTGCCATTGCGGTTGTTTATCTACTGGCTGCGCTGAGTAACTTTGAACTCGAATTCCAATAAATCTCAGTGAATGTGGTACGAAGATATCTTTGGCCCATGGGGCCTGCTAATTGTAATTGTGATAGGAGTAGGAATCATCCTGATCGCGGTGCTACTGTTTATTTGCTTCCTTATACCTGGTTGCATCGGCTACGAATGTTTCAGAACACAAGGTAAGTTTATCGACTGTACTAATTAACTTTCTTTAAATTAAGTGTATTTAATATTTTGCGGACGGTTCAGGCCCGTGGACCAAGAGAAGAGTCTAAGAATAGAATTAGCGAGTTCTCAGCGTAAAGTACTTGGCGTGTACGTACATACACTGTAAAAGCACGTGACACTTCCCTTCCCTCTTCCTTCTCCTTCTTTCCTCTCTTCCTCTCCCCCTTCTCTCTCCCTCCCTTTCCCTCTCCCTCTCCCTCCCTTCCGCCTTCATATTTTGTTTCCCAATCACGTACGCGTACTCTTTCGTTTCTACACGAGCACATGCTTCATGCATACTTAAAGTATTGTAAGTATACAAATGTAATATAAAATAATCTTTTAGAAGTTAATTTTACGTTTTCAAAATTACAAAAAGATGATTAACATTTTTGGTAGCCTTTTACGAATTTTAATATTTTGTTTATATCCATAACAATTTAAATATTGTAGAATAAAAATGAAGGAGTTTTGGAGATTTTTCAAGTTTTTATTAAAATTTTCCAAGTATTGAGAATTGAAATTTTTGTCTCTAATAATGATATTTTTCATCTAAATCACGTAAATTTTAGCTATTCATGAATATGCGCGAATTACGCCATTGCTATATCCTACGATACATGTATGTACCTGAGTAAATGTTGTTTCGTTTCCTCTGTAACGTTATGTAATTAAACACGTCAACTAGCTAACACACTGCACGATAATATTCTAATATTGTTACTAGACCGTTATATCTTCTTTATAATATTTTTCGTGTACCTACGAAAATTTGTTATACTAAATTAATATTGTTTATATTAAATTAATATTAAATTTTTACACGTTTTTATCTACACGATTGTAGAATCATCATGCAATGCCCTCCGTAGTATACTTATTGATAATCGCTTAGTTGCTATCTAAAATTGTGCAGGGAGGTTATTCGAATATCATGTAAAAATAAAGTCGTCTTATAAATAATATACGTATGTATACTGGAACAGTAGAAATTCAGCGAAGGTCACGAGAGCAGGCACACTTAAGTTACTAACTAGGACAAAAATGGTTACATAAACCTTGATATATTTTTCCGCAGGCAAGGAAGACAAAAGCGCGCCTCTGCGAACGAAGAATCAAAAAAAGGACAATTTAAAATTAAATGACGTCAGCTATAGATCTTGGAGACTCGGTAGTTTATATGAAAATGACAACAATGGTAAAAAATCTTTTGCTGTATTATATAACTTGAATTGTAAGAGAATTTTTGGAGTCTCGTCTAGTTCCACGCGTTTTAGATTAGCTTGCTCTATTTTTCAACAACATTGATTGCCGTGTTACTTTGCAAAAATTGATATCCCATACAGCACGCATGTCTAAGAGACATCTTTAAGACGTCATTAAGTCGTCTTTTAGACATACATATCTAAAAGATGACTTAACCCTTTGCACTCGGAATTATATTTCATCTATTGGTTTGGACTTGAAAAAATGTCGAGTGAGACTCGACAAAGAAGCTCCTGAGATAAAAACTGATGTCGAGTGAAACTCGACATAGGAGTGCAAAGGGTTAAAGACATCTTAAAGATGTATTTTAGACATGCGTGCTGTATGGGATATTATTTTATATTTATTATATTAATCATTAAAATAGTGAACTATTGATAAAAAATGTTTATTAAATAAAATTATTCAAATTTATGCGTTATAATTTGCAATACTTTAATTGTTTTATTCCTTGTTTTATAATAAAAAATGTTTAAAAATTCTATAAATATTATATATTTTTACAAGATGAAAAATGTATTAGAATTTTTTTCATCAAAATTTATTTTTTCTAGTGACAGACTTTTCTATCCTTTAAAGTAATCTAGAATAATCCACAGCTTTTAGTTTAAAAAAAGCTTTGTAATTATAGCTGTATAAATGTAGTCCATTATTTTAGAATTAAATGTTGCGTTAACCACAAATATGTGTTAAATGTAACGCTTATTTACTTTCAAACTTAGAAAACAACTCTGTAAGATATCATCCTTTCATACTTTCAGGTAGCTCTTCAATAAAATATTTTTAAATTTTTGGTTATCAGTGTAATACACTAATTCGATGTCTCACATTAAAATATTAAATAGCAATACCAGTATGAAATGAACAGCTTCGTGAAGGTCACGTAAAGATCATGTCACGTTTTCATGTGTCAAAATTTATATATTTTCGTCCGATTTTTAGTCAACACATTTTATTTTTTTAATTAACTAATTTTTAGATAGATGAGAGAGAGAGAGAGAGAGAGAGAGAGAGAGAGAGAGAGAGAGAGAGAGAGAGAGAGAGAGAGCGCGTGTGTATGCAAAATTATACACATTTATTTATATAAATTTTATGAGGAAATCAAAAACCTGTATGTGCATAGGAGGAGGATTAGAAACTTGCACATAACTTCCTCATAGAGGAAGCTTTGTGTGCGAATTAAAATTCTTCAGCAATTTTCAATTTGCACTAACTCATAAAGTTTTCTGTATGAAGAAACCAAAATTGAAAAACAACTTACCCAGATGACGACAAACTAATGTGCAAATTTTCACTTTACACCTTCAAAATTGCAAATCTATAATACAGGGTGCGGCAGCATAACTTCCTTTTTTAAAATGTGCGCCATTTAGTCGGTTGATGTCGTAGCGGAGCGCTAGTGGTCTCGTTCGAGAGGCGGGACTATAAAGTTTTTGTCCCGACACATTTCAGTCGCCATCATGCGTTGGAACAGTGAGGAGCGTGCGTGTGCCGTTGAGGCCTACATTTCGAGCGGATGTTCTGTGATCGCAACCCAGCGCGCCTTTCGGAATCGCTTTAATTTAGTCCCGTTGGCCCCTGTCCCGGACCGGAAATCAATTGTTACGTGGGTCACTACGTTCAGACAAACTGCAAGTGCGACAAGACGAAGAACTGGAGTCCCTCGGCCCATTAGATCACCTGAGAACATTGAGGCAGTGAGAGCTTCAATGTTGCGATCACCACGGCGTTCTGCGCGCAAACATGCGTCTGCCCTTGGATTTTCCGATCGTTCTGTGAGGAGAATTCTTCATGAAGATCTTCATTTCCATCCATACAAGATGACAATTGTGCAGGAACTTTCTGAACGTGACTTCAATTCTCGGAGGAACGCGTGTGAGGTTATTCTGGAAGTCGTTCCTGAGGACGCTATTGTTTTTTTAGTGATGAAGCCCATTTTCATTTGTGTGGATCCGTCAACAAACAAAACATGCGCTACTGGGCTGACACCAATCCTCGACAATTGCATCAAAGGCCTTTGCATTCACCTAAAGTCACAGTGTGGTGTGCAATTTCCTCAGGTGGAATTATTGGTCCCTGGTTCTTTGAGGAAAATGAAGTCACAGTGACAGTGAATTCGAACCGGTATGTAAACATGTTACAGGAATTTTTTTCCCACGGCTAGATGAGTTGGACTTAGGGGACACTTGGTTCCAACAAGACGGTGCAACGGCACACACTTTAAGAGCTTCGATGACTGTTTTGAGGGAACACTTCCCAGAGCGCCTCATCTCAATTAGGAGCGATTTGGAGTGGCCGGCCCGCTCTCCCGATTTGACGCCTTGTGATTTTTTTCTATGGGGTTTTTTTAAATCCCGTGTTTATGTGAACCGTCCAAGGACCCTACAAGATTTGAAGACCAACATCCAGGAAGAAATTGCCAACATAACGCCTGCTATGCTGGCAGGAGTCATGACAAACGCCAGAAATCGGTTTACTCATGTCAGTGTATGGAGAATGGGGGACGTCACCTACCTGATTTGATCTTCAAAACTGAGTAAAACAAAACTTTATGTATGTGCCTACATTATAAAAAACAAATAAAAATTTTCTGATTCATACAATGGGTTTTATTAAGTTTTGAAAAAAGGAAGTTATGCTGCCGCACCCTGTACTTATCCAGATGATAAGGGAGCAATGTGCACATTTCTAATTTTTTAATGTTATGATAGATATTTTAAATCTATTTAGTCCAATTTAGAGAAAATTTAAATCTAAAAGGGATTTTAATTCTTGCCGCAAATGTATTATAAAAAAATGTAAAATTAAAAAATTGTTAGAATTTATTCTAAGGTTTAAAAAACTTGATCTATGTCCATTATTGATTAAGAAATGAATTGTTTAAGAAAATAATAAAAAGCAATATTGTGCCATGCAGGTACTGTTAGCGAGAATTCGGAATCTCATAGAGACTCGTTTAATTCTACGAACGCTCAATGCAAAAATGCGGAGTATTCTTCGACACTGGTAATTATGCAAAATCAAATTGAACGAGAATCCCATCGTATCATCATATCTTTGTTTTGCGATTAATTTATTTGTAAAAATTGCAGAATTTGATTCATACGGACAAACAGAAGAATGATAAAAAGACGAAAGAGTTTCCGACCGAACTGACAATGAGCTTACAATATTTTCCGCCCTGCAATGACATTATCACTGGAAAGCTTGTTATCGGTATTGAAGTGCGTTATTGGTATCTTATGCATGAGCAAGTTATAAGAAAATTATTATTGTTATTAGAGGAGAGTCCTCTATTACAGGATATGCTCCTAATATGAGATAACGCGGTGTCTGCTAAATTAATAGATACGATATTATCCGTTGATTCCATCATGAATTTATTGCCCTTAAGTTTGTCTAATGGAAAATTCATTATTAGATCGCGCATATAATCGTTTAAAAAAAGTTGTAAAATTGGATATTGAAAACTCTCTATCTCATATTAGACGCCTATCTCACAATTGGGCACTTTCCTTTATAAATTATTATATATATAATTATATTATATATAGGGTAAATCTTATTTCCCATCCCAGCCTTTTACTATGAGAGATGGATTACCGACCGAAACTGTAGCTAACCCGGGAAAAAATGGGAAAATCTCGTAATATATGAGGCAAATGACTGTAATGTTTCTACAAATCTCTCAGATTCACACTCATTTCATTCAACGTTAATTTGCGATCGTCACGGACAGTTTCTTCGATTTTTTTCACAAGCGCGTCAGTCAAAATCGATGGTCTTCCGCTCCTCTGATCGTCGTAAACCCTCGTTTTGCCATTCTTAAATTCACGACGCCATTGAACACATATAATCGTACGGTTCATACCTCCTTTGCCATAAACAGTTTTGATCTCCTCAAAAATCTCAAACGGCGCTTTTCCCTTTGCGAAAAGGAAACGGATCATGGCTCGTACCTCGTACTTGGCGGGAGATTGTATAGACATGTTTTGCGCGTCAAGTTATTACCCCATACAGCACAGAAAGTTAAAATAATGTTGCTGAAACGTTGCAATGTTGAATGTTGAGGTATAAATATCTTTTCTACGTTAAATCTAGGTTAATGTTTGTACATTGATTGTTTATGTTGCTGCAACGTTCAAACAATCTTGAACAAATTTTTATTTTTTGATCCTCAAATAGATACTTAAAAAATGTATAATTATAAAATGTATATAATATTTTTGCAACGATTAGAAAGAACCCCGCACTAATCATATAGAAAATTAGATCTCGGTTAAATTGGCTAGTTTTCACATATGTTGTAGTTTATGACCTGCTGAACAAAAAATATAATGGGCTCAAACTTAAATAATGGCTAGTTACTGAGCTACAGCCAGTCAAACATGGAAAATTTGGGCTCCGCGGGTCTTGTTTGGAAATATTTTGAAGCATATTAGGAAAAAATGTTTCAGACAAAAGTTGTTCGGTTCGAAGGGAGACATAAGACGATGCCATTAATTTGACCCTGGATAATTATTTATTGTTTAAGCAATAAATAATGCCAATAATAATAATAATGCTAACTTCGCCAGCAGCGGTCGGACTGAATCAATTCGTGGAGACTCGATGTCAGATCAGATCCTTCGCGAACTCGCCTCTTATATTATGGTGGGATGGATTTTTAAATTCAAGAAAGCATGACGCACGGTCGCCGCGTTGCGGCAGTCAGTGAAACTAGTATTTGCGATCGCTGAGTATTCATAATGTAACATTTGTTACATTTCTAACAGATTACATTTGTATTTATATTTATGTACCTTGAGTTACGGGTGTGTTACGTAACATTTTTACAACACAACAACACATACGCACCTAATGCTAATGCCGATATTCATCGTTGTTCAAACAACTTTTGTCTGAAACATTTTTTCCTAATATGCTTCAAAGTATTTCCAAACAAGACCCGCGGAGCCCAAATTTTCTATGTTTGACTGGCTGTAGCCCAGTAACTAGCCATTATTTAAGTTTGAGTCCATTACATTTTTTGTTCAGCAAGTCATAAGCTACAACATATGTGAAAATTAGCCAATTTAACCGAGATCCAATTTCCTATATGATTACCCTGCTGAAAAAACCCGATTCAAACCGATAGATATCGCATTGATTTCTATAACAATTAATCGATCATAAAATTAAGGCTCCGATAAAATATAATAAATTTAGTCTTCACAATTAATCGTTGTGTTTGTATAAAAGAAGACTGACTAGAGCAATGTGAGCTAGCACCAGATTTTCGGTAAATGTCATATATTAAAAATTTAACAAAATTTACATGTAATACAATGGTATATAATAAATAGGTACGTTTCGGTCACTACATGTGACCCTCTTCAGCCAATGTGGTGTTGTATCACGAGACACGGTAGTGTCTCGCGCCAAGTATAAGCGACAACAAGTAAGCGACAAGCTAAAACCACGCGCGCGACACCAACCGTGTAGTTTATACGCGAGTACGCGAGTTGACTGGCCCTCAGAATTTCGGATCTCAACAACGGCTGATCCGACGAAGTTGAGACTGCGCTTAATCGATAGCTTGGGTACGATTTGCATAATAAAAGTGTTTTTACTTTTCTCCTACGTGCCCCATGAGTGGAGATATTGCAATGCAAAAATCCACGGTTTCTGCACTGAAAAAAATTTCTGGTTGAATATGGACGAATCAGATAATTCCTTTAGGATTTACCAGAATTCCTTTAGGATTTACCAGAATTCCTGTAATCCTATAGAAATTCTGGTAAATCCTAAAGGAATTCTGGTAAATCCTAAAGGAATTATCTGATTCGTCCATATTCAACCAGAAATTTTTTTCAGTGTGTGGATCAATAAAGCTGTTCCACAAAAGCTGCAAGTTGATTGGCTACGCATTTCTCAAAACTAGAACTTGGACCAAGTACTAGCATCATGGACACTGGCCTTAATTCGCCTGAATAGATACAGAGTTTCTAAATTTCTAAACAGTTGCTATTCTTTTCAACGGTGCTGTCGATACGTTATTGGCCGAATGAGATGTATTTACAGAATGGTTACGGTAGAAGAAAGATACGCGTTATACATATATAAATATCCCTTGTTATATTTGGCGTAATTTGTTGATGATATCATTACTTTTGTAGAGAAGATAGTTTTGTAGAGAAGATACTTTTGTAGAGAAGATTTTTGTAGAGACAATATTTTTGAAAAGGTATTTTTGAATTGTCTAAACCGCGGGCAACGGGCGTCCGCGGGCGCCCAGCCGGCGGGCATGCCCCCACTCCAATCATCGCCCCACCACGTTTAAAACTATTTAGTTTAGTTGATGCCATTTGATGATATCATTACTTTTGTAGAGAAGATAGTTTTGTAGTGAAGATATTTTTGTAGAGATGCAAAAAAGATAGAGTAAAAAAAATATATTCGGTCGTTGGAGCTTATACTTTAAAATAAACTTCAGTTAAAATAATTATCTGACGCGAATCGATGAGTCACTTAGAAAATAATGTGCCGTTGAACGGTCCCCGAGAATTGTATACAGGGTGTCGGATTCGATTTGGACCACTCCAAAGATTATAGTAGATTGGGTCAAACTGAGAAGAAAAGTTATGGTAATTATGCATAAAAGGGGCCTCCTCTCCGATTTGCTTTATTTTTAAATATGTTGTTGGGGATGTCTTCCCGAGTCATTTCATATATATATATGTATATATAAGGGCCGGACTCAAATAGTTTCGGAGATACAGGCTGAGAAAGGATACAAATAATAAATATATGGTTTTTCTTCTTTCTTCTTCAGTATAGCTGCTCCACCTCCAAAATCAATCAAATTGGTCTTAATCGACGCGTTTTTCAACGAGGAACAACTTTTTCCTCAGACAAAATCGTCGCTCTGCCCTGCGAAGCGAGATATTAATTGTTAAAGTTGACAACTTTTAGTGTTAGAAAATCTGTCATGCGGAACATACTGTCTCCACGCATGTACTTCCGTCGTTGTACTGTTCCACATGGGTTTGCAACTTTCCACGTGAAGCGAGATCCACTCCACACCTCTGGCATAGGGTGGGTAGGGTTATTTTTAACGAAGTGGAGCCCCCCCGGAGGGGGGGCGGAACACACTGTTTTCACGCATACATTTTTCTATCTACATTTGGTAGAGGGCAGTGACTTATACGTGGGTAGAAAAATGTATGCGTGGAGACAGTACGTTCCGCCCCCCCTTCGGGGGGGCTCCACTTCGTTAAAAATAACCCTACCCACCCTATGTCAGAGGAGTGGAGTGGATCTCGCTTCACGTGGAAAGTTGCAAACCTATGTGGAACAGTACAATGGTGGAAGTACATGCGTGGAGACAGTATGTTCCGCCCCCCCTTCGGGGGGCACCACTTCGTT